CTCCCAATTATCTCTCAAGACGGCCAAGAGCGAAAATTCGCTGCTCGGCGAAACGAAGGAGACGAAAAGGAAGGGAAAATATAGGCTAGGAAAGAGGCACGGGAAGAATTTCGAGCCCCTGGAGGGGTAGGTTGGAGATTTATCGTTCGTTCACTGGCGGAGAACAGAAAGAAGCGGGAAGTGGCCGAAATTAATTAAAAAGAGGAGGGGGTGGAGGTTAGGAGGCGCGATTCACGGTGGTGCGCAATTTCGTGGACCGAGCTCGCATCGGCAGTCGAAGCGTGTCGAGAAGCACCGCGTGACCCACTTGCTTAAACGCTGGCGAAATAATATTCCGCCTGAAGGGAAGGGAGAGAGTCGCCCGTTTTCCATATGTACAGTTCGGGCTGCAATAATGCCGTCCGCAGACTCCATTTTCCTAGCCCTCTCCTCTCTCTTTCACACACACATACATGCACACACGGCGGTTGGTAGTTTTCTGAAACGAGGCTGGCTGCCGGCTCTGCAATCGATCAGCAGACGACCCGCTCCTCTCCTCGCCTAATGACCTTAGTAAATGGACAGATCGCGCGATAAATTGCGTCGTTAATTTTTTAATACCGGCCGAGAGTAGGCCTCGTGGCTGCCCGCGAAGATCCACGCGTGGCATGATCTTCTGGGAGGAGGAGGAAGAGGAGGAAGCGTTTTATTTATCGATGTTGATTGATCATGCTGTTTTATCCGAGACTCCTCCCCTCGATCGTTGTAACTATTGGAGTAGAATGTTTCGTTTAAAGCGTATCCGCAATGAATTTGCAAAGGATTAGTCTTTGATAATTGAATTGAGGAAGCTAGTTCTTTTCTTTTAAATAGGGGAGAAAAATATGTAGGGTATTTTTCTATGACAGTAGTGACATCTATTGATCGTGGAATTTCCCGGTAGATGGGAGCTCCTAAGAGTTGTCTAAACACAGACGATCGATTATCAGAAATGATCAGAGACTATTGAGAATGATCTTTTAGAAGAGAGATCAAATCCTTTAATTTCAACGGAGTTTAGCTATAGAAAAAGTACGAGTGACTTTCGAGAAAATCGAGAATGAATTGAAAGACGTAGCAAACGTAATTTCACTAGACTCCGATGATACCTTAAGGAAGAAAATTATTATAGAGAAAAATTTATTATTATAATTATAATATATTATTATAATTTATTATTATAATTATTATAAAGAAAAATTGTTGTTATTACGAAGAAAAATAATATACAACGAACAATAAAATAACGAAAGAAAGATACACACGAGATTTCTACGAAATCGTCAAACCGTCTCTGTCAAAAAACTGTAATTCCGCGATTGTCCATTAACTAAAGAAGGAACTTTCCTCGCAATCCAATAATTGTTCCAGCTATAAAAAGGAACGCAATCGAATTGAAAATAGTCGAAAGAGCAGAAATGGTTTAATTGAAGACGCTCGCGCTCGAAAAAGACGCTTGCTCTTGGAAAAAAAAAATCGATGTCCAATAACCGAGACCGTCTGAAAGCGCGAACGATCGGAGAAGCGCATTGTCGCTGAGTGTACGAATCGAATCCGCGGAAGGTTCGCTTTGTAATCGCGGCTGGCATAAAGGGAGAGGAAGCACCGCCAGCCGTGCGTCGTGCAACGACAAACGACGATGCATCGTTCCCGGCTGCAATCGCGGCACTTTGTTAATGCCCGACGAATACGGGACGAAAGACTTTGATGATTATTGTTGGACGAATAATAGAGAGCCGCGCGTGGAACGGGCGCAAGAATGGAAACGCTTTCGACAAGCTCGCTGCCACTTTGTTGATCGTTGCGGCCTACTGAAATGTGTTCATTGTCGCCGGTCCTTTGTCTCCGTTCCTAACGAAATACTTTTTCTTTTTTTTTCTTTTTTTTTCGGCGAAATATGTCGCGGAAGAATTCGACTGCTGACACGAGAGTTTTTCGGGACCACGATGACGGAAATTCAATGGAGAGAGAAGTTGTTTTCACCGAACAACGTTCCGTAATAGACGCATCGAATTATTCTCAAATATTCCCAATAGACGCGCGATATTATCGCCATCGCTCGGCCCGTAGCTTTAACCTAAATACCACGTTTTATTCATTAAACTTTCGCGACCCTTTGTACGATCAACGTGAAACTTTTTGAAATACGAAATACCCCAAAATACATAGGTGTACGATGAAAGCAATTTTGAATTATAATTAGATTATAAATTTTATCAAAATTTGCAGTTACGATCCTTTGTACAATCAACAGGAAACTTTTTGAAACGCTTTTTGTAATGTCCAAAAATCTGTCTAAAAATTTTTGTTACATGGGCGCACGACAAAAATAATCTTGTGGAATATTGAGTTGTAATTAAATTGTGAATTTTATGAAAATTCGTAGTCACAATCCTTCGTACGATCAATAGGAAATTTTTTGAAATAAGAAATACCCAAAAGTATGTTACACGGATGTATGGTAAAAATAATTTTGTGAAATTTTAAGTTATAATTAAATTGTGAATTTTATGAAAATTGGTAGTCACAATCTTTCGTACGATCAACAGGAAATTTTTTGAAATAAGAAATGCCCAAAAGTATGTTACACGGATGTATGATAAAAATAATTTTGTGAAATTTTAGGTTATAATTAAATTGTGAATTTTATGAAAATTTGTAGTCACAATCCTTTGTATGATCAACAGGAAATTTTTTGAAATAAGAAATAGTCAAAAGTATGTTACACAGATGTAAAAATAATTTTGTGAAATTTTAGGTTATAATTAGGTTGTGAATTTTATGAAAATTCATAGTCACAATACTTCGTACGATCGACAGGAAACTTTCTGAAATAAGAAATGCCCAAAAATATATGTTACACGGATGTATGATAAAAATAATTTTGTGAAATTTTAGGTTATAATTAAGTGAATTTTATGAAAAGTCACAATCCTTCGTACGATCAATAAGAAATTTTTTGAAATAAGAAATGCCCAAAAGTATGTTACACGGATGTATGATAAAAATAATTTTGTGAAATTTTAGGTTATAATTAAATTGTGAATTTTATGAAAATTTCTAGTCTCGTTGAAGAAATCAAAGAGACGGAAGCTCATTGGAAATTTAGATATTTTTAATACGCTTGATACTCGAATATTTGTACGTTCGACATTTAAATGCTGGAATATTAAAATTTGGATATGCAAACGTTTAGGCAGTTGAACGCTTGAACAGTTAGACGTTCGTATATTTAAATTCTTCGATGTTTGGATCCCTTGATGTCTGATTCTTCCAACATCTCAATCCACAGCCCATTTGCAATACTGTGCAAGTTTCTTCGATGTGGAAAGAATGAAAGAACGGTGGAAGGTGGAGGAAGCTGCGTGAAAATTGAAAACTCTTCGCGTGGTCGTTAATGACAGGCTTCGTACGACGACGACGGCCGAGCCCGGTGTTAGATCAACGATAGTTCGCAGACGGTCTGCGGTATCTCATCGGCGTGGAATTTAGATTTTCCACGAACGAGGAATGCGCCCACACGCATTTTTCATGTAACGTAAATTTTTGTTCCTCGCGAGTACGCGCGCGCCGCTCGGTACATGACTCACGCGGCACATTTTGAAACGCGGTCACGTTTTGGCAAAAACAATGCACCTTATTACCGGAGCGCGAGCGTTCCTGGGAATTCGTCACATCCGCCCGCGTGTATGCAGTATCGTTCCCGGAACGTGATTTCCCCGACTCTGTCTCTGGCCGAACCGGTGAACCGCTGAACCGCGAAGTTTCGTCCGTCTTCACGCTGCGCCGGGAATATGTAAATCCCGCCGGTAGTTGATTGGACACACGGCGAATTCCAGAGAAAAGGGAATGGAATACGCTTTAAACGAATTTGCAAAGCGTATGTATGTATCAAAGGACGGTTAAAAGAGGAGAGTTCCGCTGGGGGGAAAAAAAAAAAAGATTCGGAATGCTTCTCGCCGATTTACGCGCGACTTGGTGCTTCAAATGCAAATGTGAATGGTACCATTATGAGACTCGTAACACTGAAACGAAACGCAAGAAACAGGGAAGTTTAGAGATGCGAACGGGGGCCCGGTGATTCGCTTATAAATCGAATTAAAACAGTTGTGTAGCGAACAAGTAGCGTTCTGGCGTGAGAAACTTATACATTGCTCGCCCTACCACGTAGCTTTGATGTAAAATTGATTGAGCAGAGCTGGGTAAAATACTATTTTAAATGGCAAATGGTAAATAGATATTTAGTTTATATTATGCATGTATTTCTGAAAATAAAATATTTTATTTGTTCGAAAGAACGTACTTTTAAAAATATAATATTTTATTTGTTGTAAAAAATTTCTAAGATAATATTTCAAATGATATTTGAAGAATGCTAAAAATATTTGTGCCATTATTATATTTATTTATAATATATTTATATAATACAATACATTATTTATAAATATAATACAAACTTGTATAAATATACAAATATTTCGCTTTGAAAAACAGTTAAATTTCTTTCTTTAAAATTTATCGTTAAGTGTAACGTAGGTTTGAAGTTGAAACCTTGAATCATATAATTGCATAAAAATCTCGACTTAATTACTCATCTATTATTTATCCTGTTCCCAATTCCTTAAATGATGCCAATTGCAAGTGAAATAGAGTATAAACTTTTATATTTTACTTTGAAACATCTGTTAAGAAATAAATGTTCCTTTATAACCTTTATTAAATGCAAAATAACTGTGAAGATTGAACTTTTATAGCAGAATTAAAAATTTTCATGTAAAAGTCAATTGAAAACGGAAAAAGGAATAATTTAGAAGTTAAAAGTTTACTAAATAACTTATATTTATAACAGTTTACAGTTAAATTCAAGTCCTGTTGATAGCGACACTGACGACAAGGTGACGCGAGATGAGTAGTTCAGTAGACAGAGTTCAGACCGAAATAACCAATGGATTAACGAATTATTATGCTGTTATTTTCCGCAGGCACGTATCAGGGGCAATGGTACCACGGCATGAGGCACGGATATGGCGTGAGAGCGAGCGCGCCTTTTGGTTTGGCAAGTCATTACAAACCGTCGAAGCAAGTCAGGGCTTCCTTGACGTCCCTGAGAAGCGCGGACGATGGCGGCGCGGTGGCACCGACGCCGGAACCGACCGACAGAAGGGATCGTCGGGTTGGCGACAGCAGGGGTGGCTTCGTGCTCAAAGCCAGGAGTGATAATCCACCGGCAAGGAGGAAGAGCCTCACGGAAAAGTCATTGAAGAAGGGCATCCTCTCGGTAAAGCGTAACTTTAATCCCGTTGAAGTTTTCCTACTTTTTTCCGGGAAGAACGTTGGAGCACGTAGGAAAGAATCGGAGAATAGTTAATAGCTGAGAAGTACGGGATAAGACTGAACGATAACCGGTGAATTTCAGGGGCTGAAGATTCGGAAGCAGAGGAGTACGGGTGATTTGGAGAAACACGGTACTGGAGGCAGTATTAGGAGCAACGCTAGCTCAGCATCGTGGATGTCGACAGAGAGCTCGCAGAGCCAGGCTTCGGCATCCGTTCACACGGACAGTAACGCGTCCTTCGTCATCGAGGTGAGATTTGTCGCGACATCTCGTCTGATGAAAGGCGAGGTCGATTTTTTTTTTTTTTACAGAAATGACAAATTGTCCGTCTGTGTTTGATCGTTGGAGAATATAGGGAACTGAAGTTTCTAAGAACGACAATTCATTCACAGGACGAGCAAATGGACGCTTCGGTGACCGAGACGTATCTAGGCGAATGGAAGAACGACAAGAGGACAGGTTTCGGTATATCGGAGCGTAGCGACGGTCTGCGATACGAGGGCGAGTGGTTCAACAACCGGAAATACGGGTACGGCGTGACGACGTTCAGGGACGGCACCAAGGAGGAGGGCAAGTACAAGAACAACGTGTTGATCACCAGTCAGAAGAAGAAGCACCTGTTCCTTATCAGATCGGCCAAGTTCCGCGAGAGGATAGAGGCCGCGGTGAACGCGGCTCAGAGGGCGAGCAAGATCGCGCTTCAAAAAGCGGATATCGCGATCTCGAGAACAGCCACCGCTCGAGGGAGAGCCGAGCTGGCGGACGCGGCTGCCGAGCAAGCGAGGGAAGACTCGGAACTGGCTCAGCAGACGGCCAAGCAATTCGCGCCGGACTTTCGGCAACCTGGACTGGAGAGGCTGCGAAACAGAGAGATACCGAAGTACGTGCCACCGCCCCAGGACACCGTACCAGGGAAGAGTATCCTTCACAAGGCGGCCAGCGTGGACCAGCCTGGCTCCACGCCGATGAAGAGCCCGACCTCGGAGCCAACGTCGGGATCGACCACGTCGGGGCCAACCACCACGGCGAGTAACGTGATGCAGTCGATCAGGAGAACCAGCATGAAGCCGCAGAGCCAACTGTTGCAAAATCAACTGCTGAGCAATCAGTTGCCGCAGAATCAGCTACCGCAGAATCAGTTGTCGCAGAGCGAGCTGTCGAATCCGACTCCGGCTCAACTGGTGAACCAGCTACCTCTGAATCAATTGAATCAGACATCGCTGAGCGGTCAAAATCTTTATCAAACTCAGTACCCTCAGACGATGGCTCAGAGTCCCGTTCAACAGGGCCAGTACCCTAACAGTATACCGAATCAGTATCAGCTGATGAGTCAGTTCCAAGGTGGCCAATACGCTCCGCAGAATCAATACCCTGTTCAAAGTAGTCCCTACAGTCAGTCTCAGTATCAACCTATGAGTCCACCTCAGGGCGATCAATATTTGTATCAGCAGCAGATTGGACCGCAAGGATATCAAAACACGCAGGGTTATCCTAATCAGCAGGTGATAACGCTTTAAATGGACTGTACAGAGTTATTTTTATCCTCCTTCTTTTGTTTTAATCAAATCGTGTAGAAAGTTCCACCCGATTACGCGTTATCTATATCAATGTCGTTCAATATCTCTCTGTAGACGTTGCCGAATCAATACGGGCCAAGTCAAATGAATCAATACAACTCACAGCAAATGTACGGGCAGTCCCAACAACTACCGCCACAGTCGCAAACCCAGATTCCGCAACAATACGAACCAGATGGGGACGCGAAACGACCACCGAGTTCTACGAGTATACGAAGGAACAGCAAGGTTTTGACTCCCCAAGACCGACCCAGCACCATCGGGCAAACGCTGAACGACAGGTCCTCGGCTGATCTTTTACGCTTTTTACAAAACACGATACGTTCAGTTAGAAGCAGCAAATCCGTAAACTCGAGTTGAGATTTTTCTTGTCACAGTTGCTTGTAACCAACGTGTGCTTTTGGCAAAATTATATAAAATTGTTACACACAAAGAATACGTGGATGCACACTTCAGCACATTGATTCTATTCAGTTCTAGCACTGGAAATTCTTTGTGCATAGTTTTTGAACTATGATTTTTTGAGCAATACCTTGTAAATTAGATTTTCGCTTGTCACTTTACAGGCTAGATCATTATAAAAGGCCACCCAGTCGCGATAGTTCCGTAGACCGATACGCTAGAGCGCATTCCCGGTTGACTGGTTCGAGACAGCCGTCCGTCGATAAAACCGTCACGAATCCATCCATGGACATGCTCGACAGGTGCTCCGAAATTTATTTGTTTTTTTTTTTTAGTTACGATGCCTACGAAACTTTCAGTTTAATTCTGAATCACTTATTTAATCTTGCATCGTTGTTTCACCTCTGATCGTTAACTACAAGCGACTTTCTGCACAGTTTCTTCAATTGTTACATTCACGACCGAAAATCGAAAAATAGTACAATATTAATAGCAACAATAACACAAATTAACATTCATCCTTCACATTACTCAACTATTCGTTCTATACTTTCAAGCTTTCGCAATCAATAATAAAAATTTAACAAATACCATTGGTATCATAATTAGTAGGTTACTTGTTAACTAACCCCCCCAAAAAAAAAAAAAAAAAAAAAATAGATCGAAAGGAAATTTCTAACGCTTCGATCGACGAATTTAGATCAATGAGAGCACCGAGTGCGATTCGATCGGGCACGCCATTAAACGGATCCGTGGTGGGAAGCGGTGCCGCGACGCCGACGTACGCAGCCTCGACGTCCAGCCAATTCGAGAGCGCCTTGCTGAAGAATCGTAACCTTGGACAGGATATTCTACCGAGTCCGGGGCAGCCTAAGCGTACAGAAAGCCTCTACGTCACTCCCGGACGCGGTTCGACCGCATCCGGCGGCGGAGGCGGCGGCGGCGGCGGGGGCGGCATGTCGAAGGTGAGTCTTCTTCTCTTCTTCGTGCGTACTGTCCACCACATAGATATTACATTCGCATTATATACTTTCCTGTCTCTTTATTTGTCACGCGACACCGACGTCCTTGCACTTGCGTCACGAGACAACGAAAGGGAGCCGCGAGCTTTCTTTGCGTCTGAGTTTCGCACGTTTGTTCGGTTTTCACTTTCACGCAGGTAACGTTTCAAAATGAAATTTGAAGGTGTAAGGTGCGAGCAATACTTTCATGTTTAATTGTCTCATTTTTTCTTTTTTTTCTTTTTTTTATCTGTAGATATACATTCATATTTTCTCAGCGTGTCCTTTCGACACCGTGAATTTTAATTTGGCTGCTCCCTTTCTGCTCGATTTCCCCCTTTAGCGCATCATTTAGGATTTCGGCCTTTGTCACGAGTCTATTCACCGGATGATGTCCCTTCGGGAGAACGTTTCGGAGGGAACTTTCCGCGCGACGCGAACAAAAGGCGGAAAATTTGGTGAAAGAATCGGGAAACGGATCTCGACGTTGTCGTTTCGCACAGTCGCGGCCGATCGCGACGGCTTTTTCGGCGAAACGCAACGAGACGCTTTTCCAAGAGTGTCGTACAAAAATACCACCGGATGTTAAACAAGATAACAATCGTTCGCTGTTACTCGTTCATTCACGCTTCCCGCGAGAACATTAAGAATTTATAGCCAACTATCTCGCGACGAGAGAGCAAGGGACAGAAAGAAAGAGAAAGAGTCTTCTGGCATGAAAGGAAATGCCTTTGGGACGACGTAATCGTTTAGACGGGCCTCTCGAACGAGAAAGAAAAAGAAAAAGATCGAGACACGAGTAAAATTTCACCCATTACGTGTAGCACGATTTTTCCATATCGGGTTCCCCTCAATTTTTGAGTCGAGTCTTTTTTTCCTTCTCTCTTTTACGACGCCACTTTCGATTCTTGACTTTTCAATTTTTTATATACAATATAATTATAATTTATATATAATATATATTATAATATAATATTTATAATATAATATAATTTTATATATTTTATATAACATTGTAATACACATGCCTGCTCATTAGCCGCATCGTACGATTTTTCTCTATGCTAAATCTCTAGCGAACGTAATGATCGTATCTTTCTTTCTTTTCTCGCATTTCAATTTCCCGCTAGTTTACATACAGCCATTAGTTAGCAAGCGTAATTTAAAGTAAGCACCACGATTCTCTTTTTTACTTCTCTTCACGATCGAAACTGTATGACTCTTTCACCTCGCTGCTCGACTTTCTCTCATCATAAACCGAACAACGATCTCTGTACATACATATATATATATATATATATATATATATATATATAAAATAGCTTGTACATACGGAATCGGACGCCATTTCTACAGGGAACGTCAAGCGTCAAACGTTCACCGAAACAAACAAACTCCTCGACTTCTACGCTTTTTAATTCGCCCTTGTACAATTCACCTAACGATTATCTTTCCTCACCCGAGCCACAACTATATTAACTCACGACCCCTAAAACCCCCACGATATGCCCAATATGGATTCGTCCATTCTGACCCAGGAGGCGACCGGGTCTCTCTATCTGTAACCCTTTTCTTCTCTGTCGATTTGTTTGTCTGTGTAACTGTGTGGCATTTTGTGCTGTGTTCTGTGCATGCCATCCCAGGACGCAGGCCGGACGGTCCCCGCCTTCGCCGCAACGTCAAAGGGCCGCGCAACCCTATGAGTATAAGTATTAATAAATAAATATGTACACACACACTGCGATGCAGAGCCGTGCGCGCGAGCTGAGCCGCGTTTCACAACGAATGAGTCGAGGTTGAAAAGATGGGGCGGCGGGCGTTCGTGACTAGACCCTGGATTCCTCTGATTCTGAGTTAGGGGGAACCAGCGGGAACAAAGGGGATGTTCGAGGGAAAGGGAGACGGGACAGCCTCTTTCGATTCTATCGGGGAGAGAAGCGTGGCCTGCCAGGCGACTGACTGGTTCCACGGAACTAATTTAGGGGTTTAAGATCAACATCAGTGGGATCCTCCATTTGTACCCTCGTCATGGCACACAACGGCCGCGAGACCGTGGCCAAAAGTCAATTTTTCAGATTCAACGTTTCGACGAAACTTTGTTGTTTTTTTTTTTTTTTTTCTTCTTCTTCTCCTTCTATGAAATGGGGAAACTCTGGAACACAAAGTGTGTGTGTTGCTCGTTTCAGATAATTACACGCTAAAGTCGGAATTCTGAAAATCATAGCGGAGCTAATTCTGTTTGATTGTTAATTATAAAAACGGTTTAAATTGTTGTTTTGTCGTTTGTACGTGTAAAAATTCTGGAAACCAAAATATTACCTGTTTCAGAGAATTACGCGAACGCGCTAAAGTCGATATTCTGAAAATCAATGTGAAGCCAATTCTTTTGTTATTATTGATTACAGAACGGTAAATTAAAAGGGTTGAATCATTGTCATCAACAATGTTTCAATTGTGTTTTGAGTATATTTTAATCCATGTACAAAACTGGAATACTGTTTTGTGGCAATTTGAACTTTGAGAGAACAATTTTGAAACAATAATTAAGAGCGGCTGACGTCAGACTTGTGTTACACGAAAGATTAAACTGTTAAATTGTTGAGAAGAGCATAGAAATTTTAAGCACAATCTCCTGCAACCTTTAAATAAACACGGATTTTAAAAAGTAGAAGCGATACTTGGACAGTTATGCTTCAATCTTAAACGCGTAATTGTCACCACAATTCTTCATGCTATTTCTAATGATGTGACGGAAACAAATGTTCGATATTCAGTCTTCTGCAAATTGAAAAGAAAATTCAAACCCAAGTGATATTTTTCGAAATGTCGTCATTATTATGTTCGACTTGACAACGCCAAGGCCACACCACGATCTTAAATCTTGAACAAACAAAAAAATAATTTTGGCCTCGGAAACGCTGCCTCCGGTTCGAAACACTGTGCACGGTCCACGAGTAACTCGTAGCCTGTATGTTGTTCGGTGTGATACTGTGTTTTAGTGAAGTTCAATGTTATCCGCAGGGTATATAAAACGCATTGTGTTCTAACTTACGGTTACACGACAACCAAGTAGGGTGCCACTACTTGCATGCTTCTTCACGAAACCATTAAATCTCTAAGAATCTATGAGGAATGACAGTCGAGGTATAGTGAGGGGGCAAACTTCGCTCAAGAATCTAGGGTCTACTCGCGACCAGTGTCGCGCGCTACCTAACAATCTCTCGAGCTTCAACGATGCGGCAGTATATTAAACGCATTCTCCATCGCCATCGACCAACAATTATATATATATATATATACATATACACCCAAGTTCGTTCCAAAGTATTGTACCAAAGTGTTATTATCGTTCCAAGATGCGTGTTCCAAGACGCGTGTCTCCCCGTCGTTGAATTGTTGAATCACGTCAACGTGGCCCGGATGAATGTACCGTGAAGGATCGTACCGCCAATATTTCCCGATATATCGATCGAACATGCTCGCTGGACGTTCGACTCGACTCGTTCGGTGCGCGTGGTATTGCAGGATCACGGTTTAGCGAGCACGGGCATCTCACAGTTTACACGAGCATCGTGAGCGACGTGTTAAAAGGGAACAGAGACCGGAATCGTTGTGTTTAGCATGCGTCGAAAGGGCAAATATTTTCAGACCGACCATTTAGTCTCGACGATCGCGCGTGTGCCCCAGACAGGGGCATTAGGGTAAGGTTACCAGCGAGAACGACTTTGAACGGTAAAATTATCGAAACTGAGAAGTATCCTTATGCAACGAGGATCGTTATTACGAAACGTGGTGAAAAGAAGGGACAGGGAGAAGGAGAATATCGGCGTGTGATATCGCAAACACGAGAGCAATCCGTTATCAGTTCGTTTCATCGAATAAGCTTTCAGTTCCAAAGTAAATACACGTACGATACGTACGAAGTTTTCGTGAGTCACGGATGATCACGTCACGCTCGTTGAGAGTATACCACTGTCGTAAAAATCCCCGGCGCGAATTGAAAGGCGTCCGCCGCCGTAGAAAGGTTCTATTGGCTTCTTTCGCGCATAAATCGTCGTCGCTGTGATATACGACCTCTCCTCGTAGCCTTACCCTAACGTACACCGGCGAGTTACGCTCGAAACTCTCAAGGTGTGAACTAGGAAAGAAAGAACTCGGTACCTGGTCGTAGATTGTTACTAGCTACTATGTAGATAATTGATAGCCACTTACGAGCCCTTTCAGCTCAGAGTTCGACCACTGATCCGTAAACACGTAATCTCATTTCGTTTTCTTTCTTTCTTTCTTTCTTCTTCTTCCTCTTCGACGACGACGATTCGCGCGTCGTCGATTGTAAGAAGCGAGGCACGCGAGAGCTGAAAAAAAAAAATACCTCGATACGCACAGATAAACAGGTTCCTCCTCGGACTCGGTACAAAATGGCGTTACCCAGGCTGAAAGGGTCAAATCGAATTTGGGCATTGAACGAAGCGAGCAACGTTCTCTCCCCCTCCTCGTCAGAGACAGAGTTATTTTTCTACGAGAAGCACGATAGAAGTAGTGGAACGGGCGAACGAGAATATTTACGAGAGTTTCGTCGGGCGACGCAGACGATCTGCGCTTGATTTGTCGATATTGTGACTCGTTCGATCAGATATAGCCTCATAGGAAGAGCAAAAAAAAAAAAAAAAAAAAAAGGAAAAGAAAAGGAACGAGACGATGAAAATTTGTTCGAGGATCAAGGTACTTGATCGTCTCTTTGTTTCGCGGAAATTCTAGCGAAAGGAAAAGGAGGAAGAAAAAGAAATAAACAGAAATGGCACGAATACAAAGATATTGTAACTTCTTTCGAAAGAAGAAACCAAAGAAGAAGAAAAAAAAAAAAAAAAAACGATTCCGCTTTAATAATTCCACGCGTTTTCGTATCGGTCACTCGAGACCGATTATTCAAAACACTTGTACCGTGCAATTCTCTTCCTCTTCTTTTTTTCTATTTTTCAATCTATTTTTTTTATCAGAATTTCCTTTCCTTTCTTTTTTTTTTTTACTTTCTCACTAACTGATATCAATTATAGTTCTCCGGCGAAACCGATTAGAACATCGATCGCGATTGAATGTCGAACGAGCACGCACCTATACACACGCACAGCGATGATTTCAACTCGTTCGACACACGGTGTTACGTCCATTAAATAAGCGAAGTAACGTGTATGATGTTACGTCCATTAATTAAGCAATTCAAGGAATCCGAAAGGTAAGGTTCGCGCGGTGTGGAGGCGGGGACCGGTTTTTTTTTTTTTTTTCTTGCAATTCTTTCACTCTAATTGTCCGTTCTCTACGTTCGTTTCTCTCTTTCTTTCCTTTTTTTATCTTTCCTTCTCTCAGCAAGCTTCGTGCCCCTTTCTCGACCTCCCTCTATCTCGACAACACCCCCTGTGTCACACTTCCTGCGCCACGAACTCTACGATCTGTCCCTCATTCGTCATTGTCGGCTGTGTTGATTGTACCGTCTCGAATGCCGTTCTCGTCGACCCTCACCGACAAAACTCACGATCCACCCCCTTCGTTCTACGTTTCACGTTTTACTTGGTGACTTGGCGACGATTACCAGGAATGACAAAGAAGAAAAAAAAAAAGAATGATTTTTCTCTACCCTCCACCTCCACGCCGCTTGTTTTTCTCCTGTTTTTTGATCAGAAACATTATTTTTCTAACGCATGCTTCTATGACGTAGCGTCATTCTGTAAAGTTTATGATATATATATACTGTACCAGTTCTATACAAGATGGGATATATATATATATATATATATATATATATATATATATATATTTCGTAGATATAAGTATGAGAAAAATATGTAGTGTGAGATAATTACATACTTAGGTGGTAAAATACTATATGAACGACGATGACAACCCTTTCGAGATCCGAGGATCGCTGCCGGACGAAAGGAGAGATATTTTAGTGGAAATTGTGTAATAAACCCCTTTCACGATTTCTCTTCAGGACGTGAAAGGGGAACTTGCATCCAAGAATATCGGGTTTGCCAACATAATGAAAGATTCTGGGAAATTTGATAGACGTACCGATGTAATACTTTGAAGTGATAAAAAAAAAAAAAGAGGTAGAATACGAAACGACTCGAGATGACGTTTGAAATTTATAGTACTGCATCTGACGACTTATCAAAGCTTTTTTCTGGTATTACTACTCTGGAAAAGTTCCTTCTAGGTTAAGATTCTAAAATATCTCGGAGGGGTTGATCCTTGTTACTCGACAAGCACAAACGTTGGTACCAAATGTGCATTATGAATACGTAAAATTAATTCTCGGCGTACCTCTGGACGCACGTATAGTTCCTCACGTCGACGCAGAACGACGATGCAAGGAAGTGTAAATCTTGTGCATTAGGTACGACCCTAAACACGCTGACTACTGATTACGCGCGTACACGCACGCACACAGGCACACACACGCGCGCGCTAAAAAAATATATATTTCAGGATTCTCTATTTTAATCACGATTTTTCACAGTACAATTACGAAAACGCCTTTTGTGCGCCACGTTGAATCTCTCGAAAGACACGCCGCCATTGTACGACCGTACGACCAGTGGGCAAAACGACCGTTACCTACGACACGACGACAGTTTCTTAAAAACCTGCTCGTTTTCTCGAACTGTTTTGAATTTCATGCCGCGTCACGTTGCTCAAAGAGGATAATTAAGAATTTGTACGAAAATTTTTAACCGTTTCTATACCCGAACGAGAGAGAGAGAGAGAGAGAGAGAGAGATCAACGAGAGATTTTTTACACACGGAGGGAGAAACACGAAGGGGGAAATTTGTCAGAGGTTTTATTCACCAACGGTAAACTTTCCTCGCGAGAGTTTTTCCCATTCAACGTGGTTGCAATTGTACCTCAACAATGGTCGTGCCTAAAAACTAAATAAATCAATAAAAAAGAGAGAGAGAGAGAGAGAGAGAGAGAGAGAGAGAAGGAGAGAGTGAGGGAAGAAGATGATGGGAAAAAGAGGGAAAGATGATTATGATACCCGAGATACAATCGAATGAAACCTGGATCCTTACCGCGAAACGAGAATAATCTAGAATCTAGAGGACAGATTATTCAGTTGGGAATTGAATCTCCCCAAGTTCCTTGACGTTTCAGGCACTATTTCTTATGCGAGAGACACCGAACACTCTCGCGTGGGCTGGAATTCATGGTACAACCGACTATGGGGTGATAAAAACGTCAAAAAAAGTAAGAGAAAAATTTGGTATAACATTTTTTTTATCTGAGACTCGGTTTTCGAGAAAATCGACTCTAAAAGTTGTTCAGCTTTGAGTTTTGTCACCCTTCCGTCAAATATCTCGGATTACATCTAGACAACAAACTGAACTGGAAAAATCACATCCAAGAAAAAAGATCAAACAAATAAAAACAATTAGATAATCCATGTAGTGGCTAACATCAAGAAACTCTAAGCTAAGCGTAAAAAATAAGCTACTAATCTACAAAATTATAATTAAACCTGTTTGGACACACGGGCTACAAATCTGAGGCATGGCAGCCAAGTCGAAAAATAAAAAAGATAGAAAACCTACAATCCATCATCCTACGTACAATACTAGACGCTCAATGGTATGTCAGAAACGACGACATAAGAAGAACCCTAGGAATACCAACCATCAAAGAGGACCTACTAAAGCGCTCAAGGACACATCAACACAAATCCCCCTGGCAAAAGACTGTTACTCCCTACTACCGAGAAGACTGAAAAGGAAACACCCGCTAGACCTTACTAACTAATAAATGGAATACAGCCAAACATGTATAAAACGGAACTAATCCGATAAAAGAACTAATGATTGCCGATAACTGTATCGAAATCCACACGATCTCAAACAATAATAATATAAAAAATGAAAATAATTGTAACTGAACAATTAGACTCATACACACGGAACAAATAAAAAGAAAAAAAATCTTTGAGTTTCGACGCACTGAATTGCCTTTGTTGTTAGAGGATGTACCCTTAGCTACTGTAAGGAGTATGATTTTTCTAACATGACGGTGCACCGTGACATTACACGAGGAAGGTTAAAAATTTTTTAAATCAAACGTACTCGCGCCTCTAGATTTTTTTTCATGGGGGCATATATCAAAGAACAAGTTTGTAAAGACAATATTACACGTTTGAAGCAATAGATTATGGAGGGATTCGAGAAATTAAAAAAAAACGATATCAGCTTACATTCTGTTCAGATATCATTAATTCGCCGAGCAAACTTATGCATGCAGCAACGAGGAGGGCATTTTCAACGATACTTGTAATAGTGTACTGTACTATAGTATTGCAATAGAAAGTAGTAATAAGAAATAAAAAAATTAATTATCAGTAGGAACACTTTGTACTGTCTCAACCACACAATAAATAATGTTTGTAAACACTATCTCGGACGAAGGTAGAAGACAACTAAATCGTTCACAAAGATGAACAAACTTCAAAGTCGATTTTTTCGAAAAAAATCGAGTCCCAGATAAAAAAATGTTGCACCAAATTTTTTTCTTATTTTTTAACGTAGAATCAGCCCCTGCTCAGTTGTACTACGAATTCCGGCCCATCCTGTATTATCGCGACGCCAACGTCGGTTCGAGTGCCAAAGCGTTTTCGAAAAGTTGTTCTTTCCAACGCGATGCAACGTAAATTCCATCCGGGCAAACATTGAAATTTGATCATTTTCTCGTTTACGGTAAGCTCTCGTACGCGCAGCAACGTGTTGCATAACATCGAACGAGTATCTTTTTCAACGCGAGTACCTTTTTAACGAATCGTTGATTTGCGTGTGTACGTATATCTCGCTCAACAGAGAGAAAAACAGAAAAAGAAGTGACACGTAAAATAATTTTCGAACGTTTCGTTAGCATGAGGAAACTGTATTCAAATTTAAATGATTCATTTTAATTTTGTTCGTCAAGACGAAATTTAAATTTCGTTTGCGACTTGCTTCGTGGGTAAAAAAAAAAAAAAGAAGAAAACAATAGGAAAACGATCACCTAGAAGACACTCGAACGAGGCAAGGTAACGAGATCTCGTGTATTTTAATATAAAGACAATTCGTAGTGTTGCACTAGAAGAGAAGAAGCAACGTAGTAGGAGAGTCCTTAGAGGGAAAACAGATCGATAAGCAAGAATAGCCGATGCACGCACGCAACGATGTTACTTCCAGGTTACATTTCGAGGAACGAGTCTACCGATACAGATTACAATGTACCGATATATCTTGGGGCTGAAATCTTGTTAATTACACAACGATATTACAAAAAAAAAAAAAAAAAAAAAAAAAACGTTGGTTCGATGTATTGAATGTATTTATGTATATGATGTAAAAGCTGTTACTGGCCGACAGATTAAAGCATGTCGATTAGGAGGACATCTGGTATCTGGAATTTTGAAGGGAACGAAAACCTCGAACGCCCTTTGGCCTCTTGCCGTGCGAGTTACGGATGTATCGACGTACTCGAGCGTGTACGTGTCGTGTTTGTTTCTTTGCCTGAGATCTGTGAGAAATTAACAAACACAGACAGAGAGAAAATTTTGATTATTCGCCGATAATTCGCGCAACAACGTTGAAATTTCGACAAAAGGTGTTGAAGCAACGACACACACACACACACAGTTAGAAGTCATTCAGGAATTCGGTAAAGGAAAAATCTCGCCGTTCGCGCGCTTTGCGTAACGAAATATGAGCGTTTAATTGGTCCTAAGGGTCGTGCCAAGAAGCCGAATACACGAGACAATACGTATTGGCGTGGAAACAGCGGATGATATTTTCGGTAGCTGAGTACCGAGCAGCGGATGGCAAATACCTGATTTCTGAAAATTATCGTCGATACTTCATGTACATCCTATATCGTGTACAATGTTGGTTCTACGAGGCGAAAATTAGAAATGATAACTCTGTCGATTAGACTCGAACGCGACGAACGTAAAATTTCATTGCGAAGCGAGTTTCCCGAAATAATTAACCTCTTGCCACGCGCATCGAGAATTTTTTGTCCCAAAATTGCAACATTTTCTCAGTTTTAAGTATATTTACATGTAACCCAGCAAAACAAATGATAATTACTTCTTGATAATTTCTATCCGATGATATAATACCGACGAGTTCCAAAAGGAAAAGAAAGCGACGAATTATTTCATACGGTTCGGTCACTCGTTATGGTCCGCAAAAACTTGCGACGCAAAATCCCGTGGCGTTGGAAAATTTACGTGCATATTTGTACTTTTGCGTGCAGTTGGCCCACAGCTGAACTGTCCAACTGTATCGAACCATCGACTCAAATAAATTGAACTGTTGAAAGGGAAATGAGCACAATATATACAAGCACCAGATGTCCATCGTTCTGTCCAGATGTCGAACGCTGTGTTTGCACTTTCCCACGCTGGAAGGGAAAAAGAAACGGGAGAAAATGAAAAACCGGGAATAAGAGAAACACAGTGACCGTGGTGAGATTAACAACGCTAATTAAGGATTAAAATTCGTGTGGAAACCGTCGCGTTGCAAAATGATCTTGTACTTTTCTGACTAAAAATTGAGAAACAACGTTCCGCTTGAAAGAAGCTCGCGAAAAACTATTACTCGATAAACAAACATACGACTCTCGAGTCGCAGAATATCGCGTATATCGTATTTTTCCTGGATTGGCATTGAAGATACAAAATTTCGTTCGTAAGATACGCAATCGGGATTTCAAGAAAGGATAATTAATGTGTACATTACGTTTGGCAGAAATATTTCTATTGTTTGATAGAGACAGTGCGGTAGCTGTTATTTGATCGCGTGACAGATCTAATATATAGACGTTCGAATATTTCGCGAAACGATATATAAACGACCGCGACGAAACGCAACAAGGAAACGAGAAAACACAAATAAAGTGGGCCGAGCCTCATTTTGGCGTGTGCGAAGACCGGGCACAGAATCCTCGGAGAAATCTCAGCGAATTTATTCGCATGCCAGCTACGTGAATCAGACAACGGGAATTGCGAGTTCGACTTTATTTGCGTAACGATATTTCCGGTCGTATTTCGGCTGTGGACAACCCTACGCAAATTTCATGGCCCCTGCGTCACATTCCTTCCTTTTTTTTTTTTATCTCCGTCAGCTGTTGCGTGACAGACTCGTTTATTTATACCTGACCTTGGTTAATCTAAATCACTCGGTTCATTCTTCTCGTCACGATAATCGCTGGTGAGAAAACAGTTAAATACACATTTTAATGCGTCACATTTAATGAAAAAGAATTACGTTCTCCTGGAAACGTCGAGAGCTCGTTTCGAATCGGCAGGAAATTAATCTCCCTCAACTTTGATCTTTTTTTGTTACACCAGTGTCGTTATTGGCACCGTTATGCTAATGCTAAATGCGAATAAACTGTCGATTCACAGATTTAAAATTCAAATAGAAAAGTTACGAAGAGGTTGCAAATGATACGTGCTGAAGTTTCAGATTCTTCAACAAATTATAGCAACGACAAATAGAATCTTTAACGGAATGTCTGTCATTCTGTTCTGTTCTCTATTTATCTGAATTGCCCGAAAAGCTTTCCAGGAAAATGTTTGCACAGTCCTTCGGACAAATGGAAAGAAAATTCGGTACGCAGTATCTCCAGATGGCGGCAGAAACATAAAACAGACCCAGAAAACCCTCGGTCCTTCCCGGAATTTGCCATCCTAAAAGGGTATGAGGTTGCAGCCTGAGGACAATGAGCAACGGAAACGGTCATTTTTCAAAACGACCGTTTGGAACAAACTGCAGCTCTTTTCAACCGACGCCGATTTCGTAATTACATTCTTTGCACGCAAAAGACAGAAAAAGACAGAAAGAAAGAGAGAGAGAGAGAGAGAGAGAGAGAGAGAGAGAGAGAGAGAGGGAGAGAAAAGAGAAAAGAAAGCACCCTTGTGGAGGGATCACGAGTATTCCACAATCTTGCAACGAACTTTTTCCAAGCTCTCGACGAAAATAAGTGACAGGTTCCGCAACCGGCGGGGGATCCAAGTTCAATGTTGAAACGAAAGCAAACACGTTTCTCTCCGCGTGGTCATGAGCGAGAAGTCGGTCCTCCGAGCTCGTCGATCGTACAGAATACAGATTATAGATCAACATCCGGCCCGGAACGAGGGCTCGGCTAAAAATACCGATCGATAACTTACTCCTCGATACGGTGCACCGAGGAAAATGCATCGACGACTCGGGACGGAGAATGGGCGACTGCGAAATAAAGCAAGAAATAAGGCAAGGATCCGTTCGACGACAGTCTGTCATAAATCAACGAGCGGCGAATCGACAAGGCTCTGGCACCGTCGTCGATTCACAGCCCGTGAGCGTCGCGACGCATCGTTCGTCGATGCTATTTCGACGTGAAAATAGTGGGGCGTCTCTCTATTTCGGTCGAACGAGCCAGGGCCGTTCAGTCTGCGACCTGGCTTCCTCACCACAGGGAGGCCGCAGGTCCGAATTTTCCACTTTTCTTTTCTTCTTTTCCGCCGTCTGTGCGAACCAGAGAGAAAACCCTCGTCAAAAGAAATATCTGGCGGGAACATCGTTGCAAGAAGAGAAGCTTTTCCTAGAGGTAGCCCGCAGAGTGAGAGTACCGAAATGTTTAGATAGGAACGGTGTAAGAACGATATCGGCCGGTCGTGGTTCGAGCAAGTTTCGAGCTGTTTGCTCTCGACCGTGAACTTTAGAGAGCCTCTGGAAACCGAGGGTACGTACGGAGGGAGGATGTTGTGGTCGGAGCCGGACGAGGAAGAAGAAGCGCTATTATGCAGCCCCGCTCTGATGGCCAGAAGGGCCTCGGAATCATGGATCGTCGCGCCTCCCGTGGAGGTATGAACCGAGACACAAAAACAACATTCTTTCGGAGATCCGTCGAAAGTCTCCCGCAGCCTTTTACAAACACGGTGCTTTTTAGCCGAAGCTTGAAATTCGAATGCTGGACCTGATCTTCGTCTCGGTTAGGTCCCTCGAGCAACACGAATCGTTGCAACTACGATCGAAGGCCATAATAGGCGACAATAACGTTAACCAATTTAAAATCTAATTTCATCAAACGCGTATCACGCTATTGTCTTGGAAAACTTGTATCTTTGGATCGAAGAGATCATTTGCTCGTAATTGTCTTACAGACGCTGATTGTAAATGTACCTGTTATCGTTTTTTTTTCCTTTTCTTTTTAAGTTTAATTATCACGATTCGTAAGAAACGACAATGTATTGACAATCATTGTAATTACAACGATGTGAGTGTATATTTGAATCGTCCGGTTATTTCAGATTCAACAGGAAATCGTGTGAATAGATAAGCAAACGACTGTCCAGAACGATGTAAATCGTTCGATAAGCCAGGCTCGATATCGCGTACAGTGGGGACGAAAGATAGGAAAAGCAAGTTGCAACGAAAGAGTGTAATCGAGACTGAAAGCCGGGGCTCCTATTCCCAGATATCGGGGCGACGCTATCGCCACGATTTATGGCACGCACGAAAAATAGAGGTCTCGAAACCTCTCGGGGAACGAAATCCCCAATGAACCGTAACGGCAGATAATAACGAAGCGAAATAAGAGGAGAACAGCTCTGATTTAAAATTAATTAACATTATCTTCCGAACGAAGCAGGGGCGCCGATCTAATTTTACGCTTTCTGAAATACGGATAACTTCGACTCGCGCGAGATACGAGAACCACGATTATCTTTACTTGCTTTCCACTTGTAAATCATCGTTCGAACGTTGGATTTGAAATTCGTTTCTTTCTTCGATCGTGATGCATAGATGATACGCGCCGATGAAAAAATTGTAACGAAATCAGAGGTTAATAACGTTGATGCAACAATCGGTAAAAGAAACAGCAGCGACACCGATAAACGGAGTAAAAAATCGGTGCTCACGAAGGTCAACGCATCTGTCGACGTTCACTGGGATTAGAACTCGTGGCCTTTGCACCGATATTACGTACCGATTACACGTTTTGGAAATGGTCCAAGGATTTCTCGTCTTTCTTCTCTATTTGCCGTTCTGTTTTCCCTGCTTCTTCGAAACGTGTAACTAATGAACACGTACAAACGTTCCTCTCCCCCTTCTAAACCTCTATTGCTCAACAGTCGCGCCAAACAAATTGAAGTCGTTCTCGAAACGACTGCTGCTACGACCTTACGATCAACTCTGACCAACGACCCTTAACCTTAACCATTATTATCAATTCAAATGCGAGAGTAAATTCCATTCTCTCTGTTGCAAGGTTTTCCCTTCCACGTCGTTTCTCGATGCGTTCAATAAAAAAAACTTTCGAGCGACGAGTCTTGATTTCGCGAGAAGTGTCGCGAACGAATCGGTCAGATCCGACTTCGTCAGAGCGAATTTCCGATTGCCGAATTCCTGATAAGACAGGCTTTCAAGGCAGCTTGTTGCAAAGGGCCTTTCATCGGTCCGATGAAACACGCTCGCGATTATACCGCGGTGCATCCATAGAAATAAGGCTTCTTTGCATAATCGAGAGCCACCTCTCTCTCTTTGTTCCTTGTTTTCTTTTCTTCGTGCAGGCGATGCCCGCGGCGGCGGCGGCGGCAGTGTCCCTTCAACGAAAGAAATCACTGCCGGATGTGGCACAACCTATTCAATTGACGGCAACGGCACCGCTATCCAGGGAGGAAGTCAGTGTCCTGAGCAGCATGAGAAGAGAGGAGATCCGCAGGCAGATCGACGAGAGCGAAAGACTCAGGGCCAATCCTCTGCTGTACTTGGTCAGTCCGCAGGTTAAAGTGAGTATGCCTTTGTCTTTGATCAAACGAGCAAACGTATCCTTCGTCATCCTTCTCGTCGGCAGTGAGATAAATGAAATCACGACGAAACTAACTGAATTAGAAAGGAATCGAACTAAGTATTCCCACAAGAATCTCTTTAACGAATCTTTATATTCACTGTCACTTTTCAATTCAAAGAAATTCTTGACTGACTAATTTAAAGGACCAAGGATTTTGTTTGGCCTATTAGAGAGTTCCGTTTGTTGTTTACATCTCAAAAGTAATTATATCTTTAGTTACCATAAAATTTGGTATCTTTGAACCCTGTCTTAACCCGACAGACTCTTCTTGCTTTCAATCCTTTTTCAATCCTAACTCTATTTCATCCCAATTCTTCTTCTTCAAGTTCTTTATAGAAATAAAATATCTGCAATTCGATAATTGTGATTCTTCGAGAATTTCAAGTTTAAATCGGGATCGAATATTAAGTAACGAGCTCAAATTCAAATTTCTGACGAAATGAAATAGTAATAAAACGGTAATACGTGTAATACCTTCTTCCCGGTGGTGGGCATAAAATTATCGTTCGATACAAGTGTCGTGCACATTAGAATATACAATTATGCAGAAGTCTAATTAGATATGTAAATGTATTTAACTGGACTGTCGTCCGACAATACCTCCTTAAGCGATTAGCGTCATAAATTCAATACGAGTGTCAAGCTTTAATTAAATCGTCGCCGCACTGTCTCCACTTTCGCGTGCCAAATTTATCTAAACTTTCGCGATTTCACGAATCAGGTTTCATGAACGAATCCGTCGGAATGTCCGACCAAAATTTCATTACAGATAATCGAGACACTCCGAGATAAAAGCGATCAGAAATGAAGAACTTCTTTTTAGCTGGCAAGTGACGTAAAAATAAGAAGATCAATAAAGATAGAGTTATCATATTTTTTCCCCCCCCTGTAATTATCAAATACACGATTACGGCAAAAAAAAAAAAAAAACAATTCTCGATAACGCGTGATTAAGCAGTAGCATAGACAATGCGTAGACAACGGCGTAGAACGTAAAAATGAAAGAGGGGGGACAGCTTTGCGATCTGATGACGTAAAAACCCTCGCTTCTTATCGGCTACCTGCGAGAATATTAGTAAGCAATTTAATATTCATTGATCAAATCATTTTGAATATCCGACCTCTTTAACGCGTTGTTTGAATTCCAATCGTCTCGCGTATTTTCTCACAAACACTTGTCAACGATCATTAAAATGAAAGTTAACTCTAATCGCTAACTTGCGCTGGCAACTGATTTGCGGACCATAACGAGTGACCGAACCGTATACAATAATTCGTCTTCTTTTTAAATTCATCGGTATATCACTGGATAGAAATTACTGAGAATAAATTTATTATTTATTTTGCTTGGGATTATATTTGAATATACTGAAAACTGAGGAAATATTACAATTTTGGGACAAAACATTCTCGACGTGCGTGGCACGCCAAGCGCAAGAGGTTAAAACCAATATTTTCAATGACAACGCTGCTGTTTGCGTTTGTCAGTTGTTGAATATCGTGCAGTAAAATTACAACACGCGTCGACAGGTTACGAAATCAAACAGTTGCTGCTTACACATTTTCACTAGATTCATTCTTCGTGTCGTTTACATCAATTTTCCAGAATTTCTTGGAGGATAGTAACCTACTTGATTTAACTTACTAACTGTGACTCCGATTATCTTCTTCCCTTTTCTTAATTCTCTCCCTCGGCTCATACTACGAACCCTATTAGGCGGCATTTCCGTAAGAGGCATTTGTAAGAGGACAAACAAGAGAGAGGCCTTCCGAACGAAACTGGTTTCTGATACGAGTGAAAATTTCCAGGACTGGTTCTCCCGGCAGCAGCTGGTGATGCTGGTGCTGTTCATCAACATATCCTTAGCCCTGATGTTCTTCAAGCTGCTGACGTAGCAGCCAGCCGACGATTGGGTTCACGGGCTCGCGGTGGACGTGACCTGAGACCCGGGCGCGTCACGACGCTCCGAGTCGTCACCGAATACCAGGATTGAAGCGATAACGAAGAGGGCGCGATCCAGTACCCTCGACAGACAAAGTCACGAAAAAAAACCGCTGAAAACGGCTTTCGAGCGATCGAAATTCACGGTCCCACGGTGGTAAAAGGTTTGGACGGAGAGGAAGTTTGCATCTCGAGGATTTGCGTGGGACAGGGACATGCAGAAGGAGACGAGGACACTTTTTCAAGCATCTCGCGAAAAGAGGCCAAGAGGAAAAGGAAGAAACAAATGAGAGAGAGACGAATCGTTGTCGAAACTGCACGTTCGGCATCCAATTACAACGACTTCTCGGCTCGATTCGATGTTTTGGGAAGGACTTTCGGCGAGGATTGTCAACGGATGACGAAGAGCGGGGAGGAGAAGGGCGGCTCGTTGTTTTTCGGACAGGGTGCCGAAGTGGCCGAGGTACCCTGGCGCCTGTATCATACATATTTTTACACCGAGTATTTTAATAATAATAATATTAATATTTGTAAGGGCTGGTCCATTGGTGGACTCCCCGATGGGATGGGAGCGACCTGAGGCCACGCTCTAAACACGATGCGCACACACGAATCTCTCTACACTTTTCCTGTACTTTCTCGACGATCGGCTCGAGCGCGGACACCGGAACGACTTTTATACAAAAAAAGAAGCTATAGAGCAGCTAGAGTAGCGTGAAACAATTTTGTCCGATGGGATAGACGTGAAAGGAGAGAAGAGAAGAGGAGAAAATCTCTGCGGACGATCGAACATATTTTTCAGAAAAGAAAAAAAGAAAAAAAAACATTTTGCCAATCAGATCACTGCGGTGATGATCACTTCCGCACGTTTCGCAATGTAGACTCGCGGACGTTAGGTCGCGAACAGCGTGAGAGGGTTAAAAAAAAAAAAAAAAAGCAATGAGGGAGTTAGAATTTCTATACAATTGTTACGATTTCTACGAATTTGATAGACGAATGGAGAGTTGTACGTTGTTGTACGTTGTAACGTTACGAAATATATTCATGTGTTATCGACGTGTCCATGTAATTGTATGAGTGTTATGTGGATATCGATATATAATATAATTGTAATCGTGCAAGAAATCCTACGAGAGATCACTTCGTTCGCGAAGTACTTTGCGTGTAGCCTTTGCCTTCCACGTGGAAATTGTATATAAAACACTTTTCTCCGATTTTTATATACACGTTAGGATCAAGTCGCACGTTGTGTCGATAAGCGATCGTTGACAAGCGATCCAAACATTTTTCTCTCGATCGAGGATCGTTCCGGCAAAATATTGTTTGTTACTGATTAATAAATATTGGTATAATTGTATTGTTGAAAAGAGAAAGTTATGTTTCAGATGGATAAAAATTGCGAATCGGATAGATATTGTTCAAGATCGAGAAACGTTTCGATGATCAATCTTTTTCCTAGGCGCGGACGGTTCAAAAGTCAACCTGGAAAGCCTTTGTATTTGTCCGACGAATATTTGAGAACGTGCACAACGGTGCAATCGATACATGCGTTACATTCATCGATGAAACGAACGTTGACGTCGTTTTGTCAATTCGCGGCGTTCGATAGATTTAACGAAGTTTTTACAAGGAAGATCACACACAATTGTATAAATTTTTTGGGGTCGTTTCCTTCTGGGATCCTCTTTGATAGAACAAGATACATAAATACAAAAGATACGGGGGAACTAATTGTCTTTGCGCGGCGTAAGTGTACGTCGATTTTATTCACACGGTGGCACCGGGGGTCGCGGTCCGAATCTCGAGATCACGCCACGTGATCGAGGACCGATCTCCCAGCGCTCGAGCGGTCGCATTTTTTCTAGCCTCAGGCATAGCTTGTATATCTCTAGGTGAATTTGTAAATAAAAGGAAGATGAGCATTATAGATCGCGATCGTCACAATTAATCGTCTGAAATCCTCTTGGTTCACCGCCCCTTCGGCGCGTTGCACGTTCGAAGCTAGACGGGCGACTAATAACAAACCGTTTCGAAGCTATTTTTCCAAAGAAGAAAAGACTCGCTATTTTCATCCTATTGCTAATTAATATACACGTAATATATTTTCCTCTTTGTACCTACACGCTAGCACTTTCACGTACCATTTCGAGTACTTAATCGAATGCAAATGTTGGGATGAAAATAGAAACAAAAAAAGAAAAAAAAAAAAAAAGAAAAAAGGAAAAAAAGAAACGCTCGTATGCGTGATGAATTTTATGCGAATCGAAGGTTTGTACACGATGCTCGTATCACCTATCTGGTCTCGGTCAGATCGACGGAGAGAATCCTTTTGAAAATTCGTTTACTTAGGAAGTAAGATAGACGAATCTGATTGTGAGACGTTGATTCGAAACGAGAATTGAAGTGAAAATGACGAAAAGGCAGCTAGGGTAACGGGCATCTTAGAAACGAAATAATGAAATTTTTATGAATTATGAGAACGAATCGATGATGTTTTTTGTTACGAAGATCGTTCGTACAAGTAATTCAAGCAAGCTATTGTGTTGCGATGGCCGTGCTCGCTGTCGCGGAACTATTGCAACTACATATATATATATATATATATATATATATATATATATATATATATATATATTCGTATATATATATATATATATATATATGTACGTATATGAATCGATTAATTAGTATCGCAGAAAGCAGCTCTAAAATTTGATATGCGAATCTGAGAGAGAACGAACGAGAGAATGTACGGTGCGCGTGGGCGTGTGTGTGTGCGAGAGCAGAAAATGATCGAGAGAACAATTTGTCGAAGAATGAGAGACGAATATTTGTTAAGAGACAAATCTAACCTATGCGCGTTAATCATTAATCATTTGCGTCGGAGAAGCCATATCACAAATCAAAGGCGAACATTTCTAATAAGAATTGTAGATGTATATCGTTCGAGTCGAATTGCGGGAAAATGTGAAAATCGATTTCGTTATTTGATTGCTACGTGATCGCGAAGAAATCTACGAAGAAACGACCATATGTATATTTTACTTGTTATCTCTTGACTATTATCAACAGTTAGCATATCTCGTTATCATTGTATATTATTATTATTATTATTATTATTATTATTATTATTATTATTATTATTATTATTATTATTATTATTATTGTCATTATTACTATTATCGCTATTATTAATTATTATCATTTATTATTATTATTATTGCTATCATTATCACCATTCTATCAACGACTGCATTGAAAATGTGAGAAAATGAACCACAGGCGTAAAAGGAATTTTGGTACCTTACGACGGATATGTGATTCAAAAAAAGGAGAAAAAAGAATATGAAAAAAAGCAACTCAAGGGCCCACTGTCATTGTTGATTTGCGAGAAAGCAGTGATTCAATAAACTTGTATCATAACTGATCAACTGTCTTATATATTTTCGTATACTGTATACATCAGATTAGAATGCTGCATCGAGAGGCTACAGATAAGAAACACGTTTCACGGTTCCCTGCCACGCTTGTGCATATGCATGTATGTTCGTAACTCTCTCTCTCTCTCTCTCTCTCTCTCTCTCTCTCTCTCTCTCTCTCTCTCTAGCCTCGCGTTTGCGGTCACTTTCCGATTACAAAGTAACGCAAAACTCATAAATAATTAAGTCGCAATTAAAGTGCAGCACACATTGGATAAACCTCTGAACATGTTGCGCGTTACTTCAGCTGCAATGCAACAAAGGCAACAGAGAAACGTGTTTCGTTGAAGTTCAAACAACCTAATGTCCTCCTTCCCCCTCCAGCCTTCTTCAAAGTCGATTTATCGTTCTCTCGAGCCACACGTGCCTATTGCTTTCTCTTTTCGATACTCCGTCAAAGTGTATCCGCTGCTCGATCTACTTCGAATATTTGAAGTAGAGTTACACAAGATACGGAGAACGCAAATGATCCACTTCCGTATGAAGTTTCGTTTATTGTCTAGAATCGCGCCGAGATAAAAAGATAACAGTAATGAGCGTTCTCTCGTGCATTACATCAGTCTGGTCACGTGTTCCGTCTGACCTCACACGGAGATATATCGTCCGCTATCGATGTCATTCTAGCTGGCGAGCATGCAAGTGTGACAAGCAAAGTGTCAGGCGAAACGTGACCGAATCTGATATGTACCAAGCGAAACCTCGACGATCAGACAGGTTTCAACAACGCCGCGAACGATCAACCGAAAGTGCTTTCGAAATACGTGCATATTGTCGTGTTTTTCCGGTTATTCGTATGTGGAAGCACAATAGAAATCACTCCGGCTGAGAACGTGATTTTCCACGGATTACCGATGTAACGTAGCGGCTGGTCACTCATGCTTATCACCCATATCACGATGACCGATTGACGTTTGTATTACACGCTCGATAAGCCAGCTGGAGTTCGATCGAGACAAAAAAGTCTCTAATTTTAGACGGTGAATAATCCGGCGAACAACGGACAGGTGGTTAATTCGTGCATTGGTGCAATGACTATGACAAATCGACCGATCGTCCAGCGTCGATAAACTTTCCTTCGCGTCGCGCTTCCTTATTACCAATGCTTCTCTCCATTCCGGGTTTCTTGTCGCGCGTTGTCGCGTGCACGCGCGCGCGGATTCTGCGTCGCTTAAAATATTTCGAATGGCCGAATATAGAATGCCTGTATATCATACCCCGTGGCTCATGCCGGGACTAGATAAAAACCTACTGCGCAGAGATTATTGTACGAGCCTACGAACACGAAACGTCCGTTATCTACATCTCGATCGTCGTTTCTTCTTATCGACTACACTGGCAGGACATTCGAGAAAGTAAATATTTTTATTTTTATCAGGCGATCCACGACCCACCTTGTACTTCTATATACATATATATATAGGTGTGCAAGATATTTTAGGTTATCTTCCGTCATACGCAATATCGATCGTGGTTGCTCAATGCAAACGCTCGAGCGTACATGCAACTGGTCACCAGCTGGCTTTTTAGTTTTTTTTTTTTTTTTTTCCCCTCCCCCCTCCCAGGCGATATCGGTTTTGACACGCTGCTCGCC